TCACAAAACCAAGAACCCATTCGGAGCGAAAATTTGTATAAATATTAGTTTTCAACTGCTCTTATACATCATTTAAGTAAAATCTCAGGAAGATCAATGTTTTGTAGTTCGAATTTTGGTGACGTCATGTGAAAACCAGCTATTAAGATGAAGCAAAATAAACAACAGAGTCAGAGTTCTAGTGATTTCAATTATTTGCATCAGGAAACAAACGTAAGAATAGATCTCGGAGCAGGCCAAAAGGAAAATATTATCTAGTAGAACGCTGAAGATGAACATCTCGTGTCCAGGTATTATTTTACACAATAACAAAGCCATCTTTGAATAGTCCGGGTAGTTATTGTCGTTTATTTTAAATCGATAACAGCAGATATTCTTGGAGATAGGAATTATCGATTGTTATAGATTTTGCCAATCGATAGTAATCGATAAAGACATTTTTCTGTAAGTTATCGATTGTTATCGATTGCCGATATCAATCGATAGCAATCGGCGATAGATATAGATTGAATCGATTGATTTCCGATATCGATTTTTATCGATTGACTACGCCTGGATGCCCAACAATATCTTGTTTTCTCGAGGAATCGTGTTGGCATTGAATTTTCGAAGTAATTATACCATCGACAAAATAAACTAAAGTTTGATTTATTGTCTATTTAACAAATCGAATGTGGTTTAGCGTGGTCTGTAATCTTATCGACAACGATACGCGTGATCACAGTGGTCAAAATGTTGTGGACTCTCGAGGCGCAGCCGAGTGAGTCCACAGCAAATTTTGACCACTGTAATGACCCGTATCGTTGTCGATAAGAGTAAAGACCACGCTAAACCACATTTCTATTTGTTTTTTACCACAATATCAACGTCAAAGAAAATGATTTTGTTTTTTTTAAAGCGCGAGCTGAAAAAGGCATTGCGTGACACAATGACGCGAGCTGCGTTGTCTGGACTTGTATCGACAACGGCAAATTAGCCAATCAGATTGCCAGATTAGTAGCCATTGTGGTAAAAATTAAATTGTTCTGTATTTGCTTTTGCCTTAGCTTTAGGAACCTCGTGCAAGTCTCCATGCCTTTTGGTGTCAACTGGAACGGAAATAATAGCTTTGGATTACAATAGTACCACAGTTTACCCAGTCATCTCCAATTTAACACTCGCTGACAACATAGATATCCATTTCAGTTTGGGTTACATATTTTGGAGTGATTCAACAGAATTTAACATCAAGCGAACTTACATTAATGGAACAAATATTACTGTTACACACAATAACACAGGAAATATTGGTGGATTGGCAGTAGAATGGATTTCGTTGCAATTGTACTGGACCGATGAAGATTATAATAGGATATCGGTGTCAGATCTGGACGGAAATAACATACGTATTCTGGTTTCTTCAACTCTTGATGAGCCTAGAGGAATTGCTGTGGATCCTTACCATGGGTAAGTTTACAGCCAGTACTTTTTCCTTCCCCACGATATAGAATATTAGAAAGTGAATCGAGGGTAAAACATGTGGGGAAAATGAGAAGAGGAAAAACAACCGGGCCTGGGAACGAAATGCCGTCATGCCTTGCGAAGCAGTGAAGATTATTCATGTTTTGATAAGACTTGTATCTTTTTGCATACAAAACTGGTAGCAAGTGGGACTGCAAGATTGGTTTCCCCAAGGAAAGTTTTGTATTGCCACTTGTTTCTAACTTTGAGGAGTGCTAGGCGATGATCAACGCAAGAGTGATTTGAGTAAATTTCTACATAATTAATTTTAGCCTATTCGGTTGAGTTTTTAACAAAAGATTCCCCACAAACAAGTCTCAGCCAAAAGGCGGCACCTTGCAGTTTCTTCATTTAAGAAACAGCTTACGACAATAATATGATATGAAGACATGATTGATTAATTAATCAATTGGAATTTAAGCCTAAAAAATATTCAGGTTTGCACGGGATTCGAACCCATGACCTCTGCGATACCAGTGCAGTGCTCTATCAACTGAGCTATCAAGCCAATTGGGAGCTGGTCACGTTGTGAGTTCATAAAACACCCGTAGATGATGAAGAATGCAAGTGAATGTATGGAAGAACGTAATTTGAAAGAGAAGAAGAATTGACTGGTCATCGCAGTTATACATAACTTTTACAGTTGTGCAGGATTATTATGAGCGCTACACTGAGCTCGAGTCCCTTGGTCTTGTGATTGGTTGATGCAATGTTTCTTATTCAACAGGTCAATGTTCTGGACGGACTGGGGACACATTCCAAAGATAGAGAGAGCCACTTTATCAGGCACGCAACGTGTTTCTATAGTAACGTCCAATCTTGTATGGCCATTCGCCATTGACCTTGACAGACGAAGCAGGCTTGTCTTCTGGGTGGATAGGTGGCTGGGCAGAGTAGAGTCTGTCGATTACCATGGCAACAACAGAAGAATACTCTTTCAGCAAAAAGGCGTCTCCTTTTATGGAGTGACCTTCTTCTCCTTTAATTTATTCACCTCAGCCTCTGATTGGCGTACTTTTTGGATTTACAAACTGAAGGCCAATGCCAATGGAACATTTGTGAGTAACATTAACTTCAAGAACATCTCAAAACAACTATTTGGGCTCGTATCTTATGACAGCTTCACGCAGTTACCAGGTATGCACGTTAATTAACTTTTAATTCTGAGCTCTCTTTATAATCCATCAAATCCTTTTTTTTTTTCACGCGCGATTCGTCTTAACTTTTCACGTGACGTAACCAATTGTAACTGTTAATTTATTGTAAACTTTTGGTACGCTCATTGGCTAAGTTTTCTCATCAGTAAGAGTACAGACACAAAAAGGAGGCCATCACTCGCGTTTGTTCAAAAAAAAAGTTAAAGTGAAAATCGCCAAAATCGCTCATGATGACTTTTAGTCCATAATAAATTTAACTATGGTCTGTCGATCCACAGCACTTTGACAATTTCCCGAAGTCAAATCAAAGCAGACAGGAGATGATCTTGAACTAAATTCAAAGAGATGAAAACAATGTTATGGCCCAATCTAATCTGGCGTCAGTTTGTTGATAATGTGATATCCTTTCCCGCATGTTTTGGCTGTTGATTGCGTCACAGATGGTAAAGCTCTGAGGATGCAGGGCAAGTTACCCCTCATCCTTTCCATCCCAAAGTAAATTACCATAATAAAAAAATGGATTGAGACTGATGAAATGTCTTTGAGTATTTTAAAGGGTGATGGGAAATATTACCGCGCCGGGGCTGTGATGAAAAGAAAAACGAGAATGATAGTTAGGCTTTCCGGTAAAGGGCCTTAAAGGCTCTCCCAAGGGTGGCTTCCGGCCAAAGTATCTTCTCATTGGTAATCCCATGGGGCTAAGTAACTTACACATGTGACCACTTGTGTTTTCAGCAATTTGTAAGGGAATTCCGACATTTTAGCCGTGGTTTTTGAGTTCGGGTGCTCCGGAAATCCACGGGTCATCCATTATAAACAAGTATAATCCATCAATTTGTTTCGCTCGCAAGCGATTGGTCCAACCGTGGCACGTGACTAAATATGCTGGGAGTATCCAAGTAATATTCGCCAAAATTTCAAAACGCAAGTGTTGCGAAAATATTTGAAGGATAATAAACACGATAGCCTCCATTTGACTTCAAAAATATGCTCGAATATTTGTCCTTAATTGGACGTTTCTCTTTCTCGAAGCTCACGGTTTTTCGAGGGCTATCAGTTAAGTCCATGCACCAAATTCCGAACATATTTTCGCGCCAAATGGAGACACACTTACACACTTATTAATATACACTTTATTATTTTCAAATTATATTTTACAATAGCCTCCATTTGACGTCAAAAATAGACCATTGTTTACATGTAATCGGTAATTGTCAAAGTAATTTTGCCATCGACGGAACTAACCAAACTTCTGTTTGTTACTTTTTTTCAATTGTTTTCGTTGCATTTTCTGTTGCCTTAGCTTTGGGAGTCCCATGCAAGTCTCCATGTTTCCTAGTTGCAACTCCACAGGAAATAAAAGCTTTGGACTACAACAGCGCTACAACTTATCCAATCATCTCGAATTTAACGAGAGTTGGAGCAATAGATGTCCATTTCAACCTGGGTTACATATTTTGGAGTGACGTCACAGAAGGAAACATTAAGCGAGCTAACATCGATGGAACAAATATTACTTTACTCCACAATGGCATAGAAAGCGATGGCCTTGCGGTGGACTGGATGTCATCGCAGTTGTACTGGACTGATAGGAAAGGTGCGATATCGATATCAGACTTAGAAGGCAACAACAGACGTATTCTACATTCTTCAAAGAAATGGCGAGCTACTTATCGTGGTATTGTTCTTGATCCTGAGCGCAAGTAAGTTAAGCNATCGCGTTCTATTCATCGGATATTTTCATCACTGATCCGGCAAGACGCATGGTTTTTAAAGTGAACACCTCGAATGAAACATCGCCAACATATATCCCTGTGATGAATTATCAACCTATGGGGCTTGTACTATATGACAAGTCACGGCAACTTCCTGGTAAGTACTAACTACAGTAAAAACCCAAGAACCTACATTTTTTGAAGCCTGGCAAATAAGTTCTCGTATTTTGGCGTAGTTATTGGCAATTTAGGCCTACTAGGTTCGTATTAGGTTCCTAATTTCTATGACGGAGATTTATTTTTTGATTACCAGAGAAATAAATAAACTTGGGTTTGGTCCTTAAATATACAGTATTTATTGACAACTGTATTACGACAAGCCCATTACAACTGATTACAGAATGTAGATGTAGTGTTGTCTCTATAGAAACAGTTCATAATTTAACTGTAACCGGCATATAAGAACCTGCTTGATCTTGCTTGACTCAACAGGTGCTTATATTCGATCTTCATCAAAAACAGAAAAATACTCTTAAATTGCCTTCCCTCAATTCCCTCTCTGTTGTTTTCCTGTCGTTTTCCAAGAGAGTAAAAAGGGTAAGAAAGTTAATCCCCCATACAGGCCTTTTCCCCAAGATACTTATCCTCGAGGTATTATGTTTAGATCACTCCTGGTTTCAGAGATCTCAGAAACATCTAGAATAATCAATCCGGGGACACGGACTTTGTTCACGTGAACAGCCCAAGCGGGGTTACACGAATTTTCATTTTATGGATTACCTTGGGTGCACGGGGGACTACCTCTCTTATTCTTCTCCCATCTTTCTTTTGTATGTTCATAGGGCTATTTTAAAGCGATTTTAGCGAGTCTTCGCACAGTGACAACGAAACTTGAAGAAACGCTGAAAACGCTCAAAATTTGCCCTGTGAATACACAGACGACAAGTAAACCATTAATAGTCGTAATAACTTAAATAAGAAATATGAATTATTGACCAACAGTAAGGTCAAGATGGCTGAATGTTGTCCATTCTCTTTTTTCGTTTTCATGGACCGAAACGGAGTCCAGGTCCATAAACGCCGAAAAAAAAAAAAAAA